CATCCTGTATTGAACAAGCTTTCAACAAATGAGCGTGGATCCATTTGTTTGATTTTTGTGATAAAATTCAAATATAATAACTAGTAAAATTATAAATATAGTGAGAAATGAGAATTGGATGAAATTTCAAAAAAATGTAGTGAGAAATGAGAATTGGATAAATTGAAATTGAAATTGAATAAATTGTAAAAACAAATGAATTAATATTGTATAATTGTAGATAATTGACTATGTAATCGAGATTATTTTGTACAAGAGAGTTGAGAATTGAGAGGAAAAAAAATTGAGGGTTAATGAAGCTATTTATAGAAGTGGAAAAAAAAAAGATCAGTGACCAAAACGGTTACTAAAAAATGTTCAGTGACTGTTAACAGTCACTTTTTCAAAAAAGTGAATGTTTCAGTCACTTTAATATACGAGGCTTGGCTCGTTTCTCATGAGCAACTCGTCATTTGTGCGAGCCGAGTGGGCTTGGCTCGACCAACACTCTGACCCGGGCTCATATTTTTACGAACCCGAGCCGTCCACGAGCCCTATTTTCACAAGTCGACAAACTGCTCGGCCCGATTACCATCCCTATGGATATTCGATCCGATAACCTGATCCAAAATTAAAAAATTTAGAAAAATGAAAATTTTAGTCAACTTGTAACCCTAGAATTAAAAGGCCTAGATAACTTTTTACCCAATTTTTGGCCCACTTATTTATAGATTAAAAATTTTATGATATTTTAGTGAGTATCCGATGTGAGAAGTGATAAGTTGAAAATAATGAAAGTAATTCCAATGTTGGCTCCTTTGGTTGTTTAATTTATAAAATAAATTAATTATTATTTTTATCTTATTTTAATTATTAAAAAATTAAATGCCTTCATATATTTCAATTAACAACATTATACTATTATCTAATATTGTTAGTTATTTGAAAATTATGTTTAAGTATAATACAAGTTTCAAAATGAAAAAAAAATTATGTATAATAAATTATGCGATAATATATAAAATATATTATATTATTATAATAAATCGGATCAGATTTTATCGGATCGGATTACCAATATCTATATTTGCTCCATTTAGTTAACGAATTATCGAATTCGGATCTTAATCGGATCATCGGATTGATGTCCTAAATTCAATCCATTAATAGCCCTACACATACATCGGCGTTGACCCTCACAAGAGAGAGGCCCATGTTTTTTTATTGGTTGTTGGCCCCTCCCTCTTATGAGGGGGTGTGTTCACCTGCGTGTCAACGTCGGTGTACAAATAACAAAATTCTTTTTTTGTCTTATTTCAATTGGACTGGTTGTAGCATACTATTACAATATTCAAATTTTTCATTGTAATTTGGGGGAAAATGGTGTCCAACCAAACGCTAAGGCCCCGTTTGATACCCATTTTTTTAAGAATGAAAATAAAAAATATAGTCGTTAGGAGACTCGCATAAGAGATAGAAAGTTAAATATGGTAGCTTGATATGATAGATAACAGTCATATTTTTCATTTTTTTGACCAAAGAATGGGAATCAAACGGGGCAAAGTGTTGATTTTGAATTGAAATTTTAATCCCCTCTTTTATTAGAATAAAATAGATACTTAGCCCCCTATTTGGAGGGAATTAAAATCAATTTTTTAATAAATTTTGATAATAATTGATAAAATGTATGATTGAAAAGTTTGAATTTCATAAAATATATGATTAAATAATTTTAATCATAAATTAAAATCTAGAGTTTAATTCATGTCAAACAGATAATTAGTCAAACAATCATACTATATATACATTCTTTTTGACATCGTGATTGACTTTGTGTCACGTGACGATATATGATTCGAAAATTTTTTATTTTTTATTTAAAAAAAAAACTTTTTCGCCCAACACTTTCTGAATTACCACACAATATACATCAAGATATAAATCAGGTAATGTAGTCTTAGGATAATATTTAGTCAAACATGCTTGAATCAAGCAACCCCAAACCCAGTTTGGTAAATTTTATTGGGAAAAGAAAAAGACAGACACAAAAAGAATTAGTTTCTTTCCAAACAAGAAAAGTATTTCATGGAATACTATTGTTATTCTATTTCGTGCAGGATATGGGATTAGGTTTCTAGAAATTGTATTATAATAGTATTCAATCTGATTGTTTAAGGCGAACCTGGTTGTCAAAGCCGCAGGAGCCCCTTCAACAGCACCCTCGGACAATCAGTCAATCAGGGAGTTGTTCAAGTGGAATAACTCATTATTCAATTTGCCAACTTTTACTCACAGGTGGACCCCACCAATGGAAGCACCTGAATGATGACTTTCATAGTCGTAGGAGAGTAATTTCTGCGTTTTCGTTACATGTTATTTTTTCACATTTTATTTTAAGGCACTCCATCTCTATTTAGTCATTATGGTTTCCATTAAAGAGTCGTTAATTTAATTTCATTTTTTTTCAAAAATATTATATTGATTAGGGTTAGATTCAAAATTATGGTTCAGTGGGGATGAGACACAACTCCGTAAAAATATTATTTCAAATAAATTGGGAAAGAAACCAAAAAAAAAAAACTGAAATTTTGAATTTAAAAAAGTCGCATATATGGGAGATGGCACCCATTCATCCCTTCATATGTCTGCCCCCGATAATGATTTAAATAAGTAAGACACATGCGTAAAAATAATCTATCGTCTTCTTTTCTAGCTGCTACATTTTCATTACTATAAAAAACAAAAATAAAAATTCATCAATGGAGAACCCATACAATTCATCTTCAAACTCATTTTAAACTGTACAATTTTCGAATAAAAAAGGAGAAGCAAAGAAAATCAATTAAGAAAATTGAAAAGTTGATTATGGTGAATAGTTGGAGTTCGGAATTCCAAATGGACACTTTAATAATTTTTTTTGAACTTTCTCATATGATATCCAATATAATCTCAACTTTTTTTTTTTGTCTCAATTTTCCAAAAGATGAGGCCATTATTTTCTCGAGTCAAACGAGAGTTTATAGTCATTTTGAGATTTAGTTCTAAAAGATACAGATTTGTGTGTGTAAACATACTCAGGGAACCCTATTTTATTAGGGCTTAAAGCTCGAAAATCACGAAAAAAATTATGAATTTCATGATATTTTAATTTAAAGTTTGAATTAACTTGATCAAATTAAATCTAATTAAATTTTGGGTAAAACCACATTGACCGAAGAATGTTAACAGATGCTTTGACAGAATGATTGTTGGCAAAATATGATTTGATGAAAAACTTTGTCTATGATTTAAAAAGTTCAATAATATGAGATCATGTGACATTATGTTAAGAATTTTGTCAATCATTATGTTATTATAGCATGATTTTTAAATTTTATTTGATCAGATTAGATAATGTAAAAGAGTTAGTTTATATGATTTGATTGTGTTACATTTGAGTGACATGATAATCATGAATCAAGGTTAATGTTTAAATTTTAAATATAACTCAAGAAACTTTCGTGTGAACCCGAATTTAATTCTAGAAACTCACGTGGGAGTTATCGCATAAATTTTGAGACTTTTTAAAATCAACAGGGGAGGTGGAATAAAAGCATATTTTAATTCACATGGGTTTTATTTTTAGGCACAAACCCATAATTTTGTTTTATAGTTTTATCATCATTAAATTCATGACCAAAACACAATGTTCGACATGGGTTAAATCAGGGGCGGACCAAGACTTTTAATATTGTGGGGGTCAAAATTTTAAAAATAATTTTTTTAATAAACAACATAATATCAATGAAAATAAGTTTATATTTATTTTGACAATTTGAAAACGCCGTATAATTACATCATTATTAATATTATTTAATAAATTTTGTTACTTATAAAGTTTTATTCATCATTTCATTGACAAATGCTGAGCTAACATTGAGTAAATTAAATAGAATATAGAAATTAAATGAATTGAAATAAAATTCAAGTTTAGTTCAGAAAGTAAATGAAATTCAAATTTAAAAAAAGTATAATTCGAAAGTAATTCAAATTACATTTAATCCGTAACGATCCTAAAAAATTTACGTCATATTTCATGTAAGACTTCCGAATGAAATGATATAAATTATATTGAAAAATTTATCGTGCAAAAATAATGATTAATTGAATTTTTCAAAAGAAAAAACGAGTTAGACGTCTTTTTTGAGGCGTACGTTTGATACATATTTAACTATTTTCGATATTCGTTTGGACCATTCGATATGAAAACGATGTAGTTTTCGAAACAAACTTTTATATGGCATAGACGATTTGTGGATTCAGGTAGCACACATCGCAAATGAATTTTTAAAGTTAGGATATTATCGAAATTCTTAAAATACCAATTTCAAATGCCTATTTTAATATGTCATAACTTTTGCTATAGTTGACCACTTCGCATGCCATTAATTAGTGAAAAATTAGGTCATGAGCACTTCGAAATGGTATTAAGAATGCAATATTTTGATTTCATTTGACATCTCGACGAGTACATCAAAGTAGATTGTAATAAAAAATAAAAAAAAAAGAGGCAAAATTTTGTGAGGTCATTTGACCTCATGTGATCTCATGTGGGTCCACCCTAAATTAAATTATGCCCGCACGAAAAATATTTCCAGGCTACACCCCTGTATGCTTACAGTTATATAATAATATACATAAAACAGCTTGACCATAAACAAAATGGCGGATGGTGAAGAGGAGCTCTGCATTTGCCCGAGTTTCAACGGCTATTCGGCTGATAGGATTGCAGAAATTGCTAACAAAGTCACAGGACTTAACACAACCAATACTGAAAACGATGAGAATGATGATGATGAATTTGAGTTTGCTTTGGTAGGTGAAAACCAAAGGATTTTGGCTCAGAAATTCATCTATGACAGCCAAATCAAGCAAGTGTTTCCCGCATTTAACCGCAATCTTTTGGTGAGTTATGACGATTTTGATAAAGGTTTGTCTGGTGAAGGAGTGGAGAGTATTAGAATTCCTTGAAGAAGAATTTTATGGAAAAGTGCGAGAATGAGTATCCTTCATCATCCTCATCGGAAGCCGATGAGTTGGAGACTATACCTCTGGGAACTTACTGCGTATGGAGGCCTGAATTCTCTAAGTCATCACCGAGTCAATGTAAAAAGAGCAAGTCTACCGGATCAGGATCGAAGCGGTGGAAGTTTCGAGATTTGGTCCGCCGATGCAACAGCGAGGGCAAGGACTCTTTCGCCCCTTTAACACCGAAACACAAAGAAGAAAAGTCAAAAGAAATTGCAAATTCAAAAAATTCGACAGAGAAGCGAGTCGTCTCCGGCGAGAAATCGGCGGCGAATTCACTTCATGAAGCATTTTATGTACGGAACAGAACAATAAAGGAAGGTGATAGGAAAAAATCGTATTTACCATACAGACAAGACCTGGTAGGATTTTTCCCTAATGCCAATGGATTGGGCAGGAGGAGTTTTCCAGCATTCTAGAATTTGCATTGTTTTCGTAATGTTCATTATTTTCTTCCTAATAGCAAAATCAAATGTCTACTTACGGAAGAAATGTACCAGCCTTTAAAGCAAATAAAAAATGATTATGCATGAGCTAGATAATCTTCTGTTTAACTTAAAAATTAAAATTTAAAAATCAGGTCAAATCATAGCTAATTTGAACAATATATTTCGTGATATTCAAAACTTTTTAATCACAAATTTTATCACTTTTTATCAAAATTTATTAAATGAAAACGAGGCAGAAATGAATATCAAAACCTTGGTTTTCCTCTTTCAAAAACTAGAAGATACTAGGAGATAAAAGAAGTACAAGGTGAGAAGTGACAAGTATGAGAATCTAAGGCTTTCTGAATGTTGGCTACTTTATGATGAGTTAGTTTGTAGAATAATGCTAGATGTATATTTCTTGTTAATATTAAGGATGACACCTTCTTTTGTGGATAAATCTGATTAATGAGTTGATGGGATGTGTTTAAAAATAAAGGCCACGATATTTAATGTCAAATTTGATGTCAAAGAAATTGCGCTTGTAGCATGTTTGTAGTTTGTATTTTGTTGGAGCTTAACACTACCTCACTTGATCAACAAGATCAATCTCTTCCAGGAAGAAAGACATTTTAAAATGAAACTCTAATACAATATTTATGTTAGAAAATATTGGTATCTTCTTGAATTGATAACAATATTTGAAATCACAGTTTTGAGATATATATATATATATATATATAGTGTGTGTGTGTGTGTGTGTGTGTGTGTGAGAAGAGCCACCATTTGTGTTGTATCATAGGATTCATTGTCTTATCCCATGTGCATATTTTATAAAGTAATGCCATTTAGCACACATGTTTAATGAAATATATATAAGAAATTATGGTTCATTTAATATGATCCATGACATGTTGATACTTAGATTGGTATTTTACACCACTAATATATACATAACATTATTCTATTATATTATTCTTCATTTGTGTCTCCATTCGTTGGTTGGTGAGGGAGGTACTATCAACTATGTTTGTATCAAGCAAATGCAACTTGAAGCCAACAAAAATCGAGGTTTGGAGTCGTTTTCGTAGTGTATGAACAGTTATCACGATAACTAGTGAACTAGATTTGAATTGACATACTCAATTTAAAATTATTACACACGAAATGTTATGAAACTTTTCATTTGGTCCATGTGAAATTCTCTTTATTTCAAAACTCTTTACTATTTATGCTCAACACATGTTTGACTCTTTTTAAATTAAATTTTTTTTATTATACTCACTTTTAACCACAAATTAAAACAATAAAATATTCTACACGTAAATCCAAAATTTTTCCTATTTTTAACCACGTATTCTTCAAAAAATATTATTCGAAACATCATTTTTCCCAATTTATCTTCATAATAGCTGTCAAACAGAGGCTCATTTCTAATCACATTCAAACAATAAAATATTTTGCATGCGTTAAGTCCAAATTATAATTAGCAATTTTTCAAGTCAAAATCAAGTCCTAATTAAATCGTATTAGGAGTTTATTGAGTTATAATCAAAGTCAAAATAGTTAAGGATTGGTAATATATGTTTTGAAGGAATTAAAGATGTCAAATATGTTCAAGAAGATCACATATAATCAAGGAAATGCAATTAAAAATCTAAAGAGTATCAACAGGGGCGAAGCCAGGAAATATTTTCAGTGCGGGCATAATTTAATCCAGAGGCGGACCCACATGAGGTCATGTGGGGTTAAATGACCCCACAAAATTTTGCCCCTATTTTATTTTTTATTTTTTTTTACAATTTACTTTGATGTACTCGTCTAGATACCAAATGAAGTCAAAATATTACATTCTTAATACCATTTCGAAGTGCTCATGGCCTAGTTTTTCACTCATTAATGGCATGCGAAGTGGTCAACTATAGCAAAAGTTATGACATGTTAAAATAGGGCGTTTGAAACTAATATTTTAAGAATTTCGATAATATCCTAACTTTAAAAATTCATTTGCGATGTGTGCTATCTGAATCCACAAATCGTCTATGTCATGTAAAAGTTTGTTTCGAAAACTGCATCGTTTCATATCGAATGGTCCAAACGGATATCGAAAATAGTTAAATATGTATCAAACGTACGCCTAAAAAAAGACGTCTAACTCGTTTTTTCTTTTAAAAAATTCAATTAATTATTATTTTTGCACGATAAATTTTTCAATATAATTTATATCGTTTCATTTGGAAGTCTTACATGAAATATGAGGTAAATTTTTTTAGGATCGTTACGGATTAAATGTAGTTTGAATTACTTTCGAATTATACTTGCTTTAAATTTGACTTTCATTTACCTGAACTAAACTTAATTTTATTTCAATTCATTTAATTTCTATATTCTATTTAATTTATTCAATGTTAGCTCAGCATTTGCCAATGAAGTGATAAAAAAACTTTATAAGTAGCAAAATTTATTTAATAATATTAATAATGATGTAATTATAAGGCATTTTCAAATTGTCAAAATACATATAAACTTATTTTCATTGATATTATATTATTTATTAAAAAATTATTTTTAAAATTTTGACCCCACAATATTAAAGGTCTGGGCCCGCACCTGATTTAACCCATATCGAACATTGTGTTTTGGTCATAAATTTAATGATGATAAAATTATAAAACAAAATAATGGGTTTGGGCTTAAAAATGGAACCCATGTGAATTAAAACATGCTTTTATTCCACCTCCCCTGTTGATTTAAAAAAAAAAAAAAAAAAAAAAAAAAAAAAAAAAAAAAAAAAAAAAAAAAAAAAAAAAAAAAAAAATTTTTTGGGCAAAAAAAAAAAAAAAAAAAAAATTGTTTGGGCCTAAAATTTCAGACGTGGCTCCGCCACTGAGTGTCAAAAAACCGCACAGGTTATGCTCCAAATTTTTAGCTGCAATTTACAACACATTTTTTACATTGAAAACATTCAAATTTGGAGAATGCTATTTTTAAAAGAATTGTAGCCATTTGAGTTGACTCACATTTTGAATAACCTCAATCGGATATCAGAAAAGAAGGTTATGATGAAAAACTAACAACTGCTCAGCTGCAGCTCGCCTAACGCTCAAGCTACAGTCGACGTCCAATGGCCCGTTTTGTTTCAAAAACTTGATTTTGAACCGCTTTTCACCCTAAACGTTTTTCCTCATATATATCCTACATTATGAATGTCCCAAAGTGTGTTGAATCATATTATTCCATAGAGATAATTCCCTGAAGATCCAAATTATCATTCCTTGATCTCTAGAATCAACTACCAAATCCTTGTGTTCATAAAATCTTTCAAAGCCAAGATATTTCTTTGAACCATAAATTATTCCATTAATCGAGATATTTATTGAGCCATATATTTTCATATCCTTAGACATTAAACCACTGATCAAGACACAAAGATCGTTTGATCAAACACCATCCTGAAGAATGAGGAATTCTTCATTTAATCCATCGAAGATAAATCGATACAGGATTGGGAGCTGTTGTAGGAATATAAATTCAGGAGGATTAAGGTGATGTACCAGGAGTTGGGATCTGGCATCAGGAGCACGCAGTCTAGGAAGACAAAGGTATAAACCATGAGTTGGAATTTGTTTTGGAAGAGCACACATCCAATAGAATCAAGGGAGACAGTAGGAATTGAGATCATAAGTTCTCCGAGATAGACGGGTCCGGACAATACTATAAGTTTGCTTCGATTTATAGTGGATCACTGATTGACGAAGTGTCCAAAGTTTTTACCCACTTGGTGTTTCTCTATTATCATTTTTGGTATTCGTCATTGCTTTAATTATTGATTGTGGCATTCAAATCTTAGAGTAATTGAACTTGATTGACCATCACCTAGAAATAATTAAAAGTGGTTTGTTGTTTGTTAATTACTTATTTCAGCAAGTTGGGTCTAAATAAATAAATAAATCAACTAATTAAAACTTTCAACACGTAAACCTAAAATTTTTGCATACTTTTTAATCACACATCCTTCAAAAAAAATCATTATTCAAAACATCATTTCCACACCCCCTCCCACTCCAAATATCTCTTTATAATGACCATCAAACATGGGCTTAATTTTGGCATTTTTTGATTGAAGAAGGATCCTTTGAGATTTAATAGAAAGTAGTACTGTCCGATTCACTTTCCATTTCTTAAAAACCATCCTTATATAATTGTAAAGAAATAGTTTCACAGTCTGATATTTAATTTGTTAAGACGACAAGTTAGTTTGATGTAACCGTCTTTACGTAACTTTCTTTTCGAGATAAATAAAACAGGGGAAAAGCCGGAAGTGATCTTGAAAACCAATTACGTTTTGAATAAATTTATATGGTCAATAAATAATGATGGGAGCTAACTTTGCTTGTATTCCAACTTTTTTTGGAAAAAACTGAAAGACTATTGTCATTACCATTTCATTTGGTTATAATTTTCATTTTTTTTCCCTTTTTTTTGCGAATTCATTTAATCCTAAACATAATTTATAAAAAATGGTTGAAGCTAACTTTGCTTGGCTTCCAAACTTTTTACTCAAAAACTGAAAGAATATTGCCATTAATTACCATTTCTTTTGGTTATAATTCCTCTCTTATTTTTGAGTTCATTTAATCTGAAAAGAATTTAAAAAAAATGGTTAACAATATATTCTTTTGCAAAAAAGTTGTGCACAATATCATATGTTTTTGTTAGCATTCACGCCTTTTTAAAACGTGCACAAGCTAGTAAGCTCACAAAAAATATTCATAATGAAATATTAAACATGTAATCACAGCATATGGTATGTACTTTCATTTTTATGTCGTATTATTTACAATTCACTTTCTTTATCATGGAATGTACAATTTACTCGCCACAGTATTAAACCACTTAATGGAATTAAAGTAACGAATTCATCTCTGAGAAGATAATCATCGATATATATGATTGAAACATCACCGCAACATTATCCAACATAATGTGAT